TCTCCCCACGGGGGACCCCTGTTAAACAGGGAGTCTCTCCCCACGGGCGTCCCCTGTCAAAGAGGGAGTCTCTCCCCACGGGGGGCCCCTGTTAAAGAGGGTTAAAGTTTCCCCAGGAAAGGTCGATGAGGTGGGGGTGAGTCACGGTGGGGAGGGCTCTGACGAACGGTGTGATGAAACTCTGTGTTTCTCTGAGTAACCCCGTCCCCCCAGGCTGCTGGGTCACGTCAGATGGAAAGGATGGGTGAGGATGGGAGTACTATACCCTGTCATATTTAGTTATGTCATGATTGTAACTGTGTCTGATCTCTCAAGGTATCCCTGCTGGACTTTGGAGCAACTCGGGAGTTTGATAAAACGTTTACAGACAAATATATTGAGGTACGGACTGCCTGGCCCTCTACTATTTTAGATGAAACTGTATCATTGTGGTAAAGACAATAGCGTCAGAGACTAAAATATAAATTTTTTTTTGTTTGTAAGCTCTGTCGCGGCTCTCAGGATCAGAGGATAGCCGTACGTAGATTTTCAGTGATTGAAATCAATGAGTAATGTGACGTGAGATTGGATAGCACCTGATGGGCAATCCCGAGTGTGTTAAGAATGACAGAAACACCAGTTTGAGATTATCCATTCAGCTGACTGTGGGGTTTCACTGAGGAGTTGGTGGGGTGTGTAGACAGAGAGCTTTACTTTATTTAAAAGGCTGGATGGAGCTTTACTCTGTACCTAACCACCTTTCGTCTACCAATCATCGGCATTTTGATGGTGTTGGTGTAGAGGGAGTTTCACTTTTGGTTTAAAAGAGTAGAAGAAGCTTTACTCTGTATCTAACCTGGGAGTGACCTGGGAGTGTTTGATGGGGGACAGTGTAGAGGGAGCTTTACTCTGTATCTAACCCCGTGCTGTCCCTGTCCTGGGGAGTGTTTGATTGGCGGGGGGGGGACAGTGTAGAGGGAGCTATAGTTCCATGTTATAAGAGGCGGGTTTTGGGTGTTGACCCTGTTGGAGTTGGGATGTGTTGTGATTAACTGAGGAATTCTCTGCTTGGTCAGGTTATCCGTTCTGCAGCGGACCGGGACCGTGAGGCTGTCCTGAACAAATCCATCCAGCTGAAATTCCTGACCGGATTCGAAACCAAGGTGAGTCCTGGAGTCCTGGAGTCAGGGATAATGCAGCGTGGGGCTGGAGGGACACAGCAGGCCAGGCAGCATCAGATGGGCAGGAAAGCTGACGTTTCAGGTCGGGACCCTA